TTGCTTTAATTTGTTCTCTAAGACTTTGCCCATTTATATAGTTTATGTGAAGGGTTGTTTTTTGTATTATATATGCGTAAATATGCATGTGTGTTACTTTGCATATAACAAAACGGATGTGCACATTTTAAAATTTAATAAAAATGTAATCACATAAACGGCAAAATCAAGCTGAGGCACTTAAAATAGATGTAAATTGGACCAAATTTCGGAGGATTTAAAAGCGGAAATGTAAATATAATTTAATTAATTCATCTGACAAGACAACAAATTGTAAAATCTATAGATCTAATGTGGATATCAGCTCAAATAATTTTGTCTTGGACAAATGTGATGATAAATGTTAAGTTCATACTGAGAGCTCTGACTTTTCAAGCACAGTTTGAGACATTGTTGAGATGACAAATAATGGAGTCTTTTACTTTTAAAGTCTCCATTTAATCTCACTGATCTGTCTAGAAGAACACTTAAGATGTCTCATTTATGATGGGAACCCAATTTTTTTACTCTGCGTTCTTCCCATTCCCCTAAGTCATCATTAGTTCCTCACGTGTTGTCATCCGTTTCAATGCAATTTTGCATTTCCCCCATCTTGGCCACAGTCTTATACAGCTGCAGTTTTCTTTTATATTTCTCCTTAGACGTATCATGACCTATTCTTCCACTCCCCACCCCCCTCATTCCCAAAAGACTGTCCAGCTGCCTTTTTCCATAGAAACACACGTATACACAATCACACAAAAAACTCGCTCCGTATCGGCTTTCTACAAATGCGCAAGGAAGCCAAACAGGCCTTATGGCTTGATATGTTGCTTTGGTGTTTGGTACAAGGCCGGTAGATATTTTGAGAGCATGTTTGTGTGCCACAAATGATCTTTTTAGTGTGTTTACTTTATCTGACTAAGCGGATGTCAAGAGGGTGTATTTAGTTTATAATGTCTTTGATTGGGCGCCAAATTCCCCAAGAATCCCCCTTTGCTGCGAGGGCCTGTCTCGACAGATTTGGCTGCGAATGTGCAGAAAACACACACACCTCTTGTAGAACAATGGTTGCTAGGACAGATCTTTATAAGTGTGTGTGTGTGTGTCTTAGGTCGGGAGGTGGAAAACCTCTGCTCTGTTATCTCTCAACAGATGTGAGGAGCTCTTGATGACAGAGAGATGATGGTAAACCCAATGCACTTTTAGCTTTGAACAAACAGCTTTAGCACCTTTCTTCTGTTCGCATTTGCTTTTCTGTTCTCTTGGTTGAATGCAAGTGTGACCGAGCGTGTCGTTGGCATCTTGTCAGGCTGATGTGAATGAGATGGAGTAGGTGAGGAGCCGTAACACTGTCCGTCACTGACCCCAAACCACAGTCTGTCTGTCTAAACAGTTACATTTGAAAATCTGAGAAAAGAAAAGGATCTCACTTAACTAAGATAAGCTCAACTAAACAAGCTAAGATAAACTAACAATGCCAAAGTGAGCCAAAAAGATAAGATTCATAAAAATAAATGGACATTTTGCATAAGATTTGACTAGAAAAGTGTTCCAGTACTATTTGCTATTACTAGTTAATTATTTAGTTAGTTAGTTAGCTATTGTTCAGTTTAACATCACAAAACAAACAGCTTTATATATTTATACAGTCTTTCCATACGATTTGAATTGAAACTACAGTGTTCAAATACTATTTATTTGTTGTTTGTTTGTTCACTTTAATATCATAAAACAATACAGCTTTATGTATTTATAGTTTTTCCATAAGATTTGCCATGAAACCAGAAAGTGTTTGAATAATATTTACTGTTACAATTGTATTATTTAATTACTTTAGTTACATATGTATATTTTTTACAGATGTATTTATTGTTAAGTTTGCTCAAATATTATTTACTATATTTTTATTTATTTATTTACTTATTTATTGCTCAGTTCAACACCATAAAAAATACTGCTATATATATATATATATATTTCCATAAGATTTGACATAAAACCTGAGTGTTCAAATATGATTTGCTATTAATATTTTATTTATTTATTTATTTTGCATGATACAACTTGTATATAGTTATACAGTAGATTTATACAGAATTTATACAAAACAGTTGTTTTTATTTATTTAAATTTTTATTCATTTTTTTGTAGTTGTACATCATAAAACAATAGATAAAAATAATAAAAGATTGATTATAAATAGTATATATATATATATATATATTTAATATTTTTATTATTAGTAAATAGTAATATAATATATATTTAATAGATATTATTGTTGTTATTGTAATTTATTCAATCTATCATCTCTGTTTTGTATGCTGCAGATGTTTTTAATTTAGAGAGCTTTGTGAATCTCTGTTTGGATTTTTTTGGTTTTTATATGGGTTATGAATTCTGGGCGTGTTGCACCACAGATGGTTTTACATTAAGTGAAAATGGAAAAAAAATGACATTTGCTTATGGTCTGTTAAGGCTGATGATGTTTCTGCATGCGCTCTGTATCTCTCTTGCAGGTTGTATGTGAGCCTCTCAAGTGGAGATGGAGAAAGAAGCACAAATAAAGACATCTGTAATGCACACCGGTGTATGAACAGGATGTTTTGACCTCAAACACAAACGTAAGATTCTTCACTGACATTTATTTACATGAAGGAAAGAGCAGGGTTTGTATTAAGTAACGTCGACAGCTAGTTCTTCCTCTCTTTTCTCCTTTCTTGAAATCTTGACCTCATAACCTCTGTAAAGAGATGGTACCAGGCACAGAAAGAAAAGAAGAAAGGAGAGAAAATACACATGTGACACACAAAGACAGGAGATATGTGCAAATGCACACACATATACTCTTGTTGTGAATATCAGTTTCATATTTTCCAGTTAATTCTTGTGAAAAGAATATGAATAGACATGTCCATGATTCTATGTACAGACTTGTAAAGCTGTAAAGACACATTCATATATAGTTATTGCTCTAAGGAGATTGTTGCTCAAACAGTAGATATGCTTTTTTGGTTTTAGAAAATTATGTAATCATGCATTTCACAAACTATTCTCCTGGATCATCCCAAGTATGGGCTTTTAGTGGAAAGAGCAACAAGATACAGCAGCTCATAGACCTTATATAACAACAGGAGCGATCAAGATAATAATACACACGATAAGAATCAGAATGAATCTAAAAATACCAGGAGGTGTCAAAAAGAGAGTTATTAGGCAATGCGAATTATGTAACTCAGACAAATTGCTATAGTCAATCATGTTTAATTTTTAAAAGATGGCCAATATATATATATATATAGTTATTTAGTTAAAATGTTATATAATTACATTATAACATTTTATTTATTTATTTTGTTTGTTTGTTTAGTTTAACATCAGCCAGAAAGTGTTCAAATATTGTTTACCATGACTATATTTATGTATTTATTTACTTATTTGTTGTTTAGTACATACGTATATGTAGGTGATGTGTGTGTGTGTGTGTGTGTGTGTGTGTATGTGTGTGTGTGTGTGTGTGTGTGTGTGTGTGTGTGTGTGCCTATGGAGAGTCCCCATAAAACATGGAAACACAACATGCGTGTGTGTGTGTGTCACACAAACATTTTTTTGTCATTTTTATCACATTTATCAAACTTACAAATGCATACAATAAAATCTGTGTATCTGTGAGATTGTTTAAACTCTGTATCCAACATAGGTTTTATATAGTGGCAGTTTTATATGGGTCTCGAATGTCCTCTGCTGGCCAAAAAAAAAAAAAGGCAATATTTCTATAGGAAATTTCTATATCTCTTTTTTCCGTACAACACTGAGAACAACTGATGATATTTATGAGGCACAACATGAACAATAACATAAATCTTCCTCACAGCATCACATAAATCTAAAATCATTTAAAATAATTTAAAAACCCCTAAAAAATTACTTTATATATGCTGTATGTTCAAATTATTGATCCTTCTAAGAAGACTCAGCTTTTGAATATTAATGAAGTTATGCTGCCTTTACTTGCTACATCTTCTTGGAGCCTCAAGTCACGGTCCTAATTAATATTAATATTCCACAATATTTATAACCAGCGGCTAGAAATGCTAAAACACAAGAACAACATTGATGTCATTTTTCAGGGCAAAACGTCAACATGTAATAGCATAAATTATAATTAGCCTTCTGTAGAACGTTTCAAATAAATCTAAAATCGTCATGAGGCAAAATTGCTATTTTGACTTTTAAATCAAGTTGTGGTGAAGTTTTTTTATTTTTTATTTTTTTTATTAACAAGATCAAAATACATGTATATGACAAACACTATACATGATATAAACAATAAACAATAAACATGAAATAAACAATTTCACACTAGAGGGGCTGTATACAAATACAAAGTTATATAAAAATATTAAAGCGTTTACAAACTTTCTCCGTTTTAATTGCTTTTTGTTTCATAGAAAATCGTATAGTATCAATATAATGCTCCATTTCCTTCCTAAAAAAAAATAAATAAATTTTTTTGCATGAGAACTTACATTTGTGAATATGAAATTTTGCATGTAAAAAAAATAAGATGTATCATGTAAACGTGACTGTGCTTGTCTTTGCTGTTCTCCAATATACCAAATAATACATCTTTCCATAACAAAACAAAATGATTATCAATATTTTGTACAATAAACTTACATACATTTTGCCAAAATAGTTTTACAAAAGGGCAATTCCAAAACAAATGTACCACAGTTTCAGGGCAACTGACACAAAAGGAGCAACTAAAATCAATATCAGATTTAAATTTTACCAAATAATATTTGAAGACGTGGTGAAGTTGCCAAGTAACATTCCGATACTGTTACGTTGCGTTATTAATATTCATACGCCAAACCAAGCAGTTCAGCCAATCGGTGAAGCCGACTGGGCGAGCGTGACGTTGCGTGATTAATATTCATTAGCCAGTCCTCCGTTATGCGCGAACTGATTTGATGGATAGAGGGCGCTGCTGCCTGCATTTAGGGCTGAACAACTTAGGGCTGAACTTTCATCTGTCACGACAACAAAGTAACAACTTTCCTCCATGGAGAGAAAAAATCTGTAACTTATTGTGAGGATAAACCAATGGAAACAACACCTAACAACAACGAGAAGCCGACGTTAACTCCAGGTATGTATAGACTTAACTAAGAGTGCGAGTTTATTTGAGGACTTTTGAAAGGATTTTAGTTTTGCAGATAACAGATAACAACAAAATAAGAGTCTTTGGTTTTCTTATTTTGAGAGAATTAATTATTTATTGTTGGTTACGTTGTATTGTATTTCATTCTCATGATGAGACTTATATTAATGTTGTTGACATACGTGTCCAGCAGCTGCTCGCTCACTTCTGGGTTTTAATCGTAGACGCAGGACAAGGTCGAGGCCTTAAACATGTTTTGGATAAACAAGGGACATTTTGTGTTAGATAATAACACATTGCATATTTTGCAATGCCTTTTCAATGTATTTTCAGGGACTTCATATGATCTCGAGACCAATGAGTACTACATATGCTGTATTATTAAAGCATTACGCATCATGTTGTAGTGTCATAAAGTGTCACATGTTTGTGCAAATATCTTATGCAAAGTAGAATGTTATAATAAAATATTTTGTTTAGCCTCCGATATCAGAACACATGCAAATGAAGTTTGATCTGGAAGCCCTTTCCACAACAAATATTAAACTTTCAAAAGCACAAAAAGCAGACATTGGGTCCAAAAGGCAGATTTGTTCTTCAAGAAACAAAATAAGGTCATAAAATTGAACGAATGTCAGAAGCTTTTTCTACTTGGACCCCTGTAGTAAGCATGTAGGCTAATGTAGATGTGGAGGACTAGGTTTGATGTGACAAAGTCGGTGTGTATCTGTTATTGAACACTCACATATTCTTCACGGGAACTTTGTAAATTTTTTGATTTTGCATTTAGTCATTTTATTGTTACAGACCCAGGAGGACAGAAGCATGATCAGTCACCAGCAGAGAAAGTGTTTGGTCGACAGCTGAGTGAACCAGGGCGCTTTGCGTACGCTGGGTTATGTGGAGTGTCTTTGGGCCAGCTCTTTCAGGGACCTGAGCAAAAGTAAAAAAAAAATATAATAATAATATCACTTTAATGTGCTGTTTACTAATAGACATTAGCGTTAAAGGGGTCAAATGATGCAATTTCAAGTTTTCCTTTCTCTTTGAAGTGTTACAAGCTGTTCGTGAATAGATAAGATCCCTGAAGTTGGAAAGACTAAAGTCTCAAACCCAAAGAGATATTCTTTATAAAAGTGAAGTCTCGTCCACGCCCTCCTAAAACGCCTCGTTTGAACACGCCCCCACATGTCTACGTCACTGTGTGGGAAGATTTGCATAACGTCGCCCAAATGTTCACGCAAAGAAAGAAGGCGTAACTTTATTGTTGATGCACCGCCGCCATGTTGTGAACACGTTGTGTGTTTCGTTGTGAAAGCAAAACTACTTTGTTTGGTCTTCCAAAAGAGGACACGACTAGAAATCAGTGGTTAAGTTGTATTTACAACACTGTTCCAGAACAGTTCAACACAAATATTCAGATGTGTGCAGCACATTTTATGGAGGACTGTTTCCTGATCCTGGAAGAGTAGACTACAATGCCGGCTGTTCTGACTCACAGACTGTAAGTATGTTTTTTATATTTAAAGAATTTGCCACTGACGATTCAAACGCAAGTTTTTTTGAGCAGTGTAGAGTAGCACTTATTGTTTGTCATTTCTCCGGTCACAAATGCAGACGTGGTTTTATGTTTACAGGGCGCGATTCAACGCAACGCGTAAAAAGAAGCATTATATACAGTATAGTATACGTGTATAGTATAGTATATGTGCAGTATAAGTCATTATAATCCTTAATTATGTCCCCACTGGATGCAACAAATGCCGCGTTTATAATGGGTTTTAATGTTTTTGTCTCATCGCTCCGGTCGGGACACGGCATCACAGTATGGTAAGGGGCGTAGCATTTTCGTCACATGCTTGAGGTATTCGGCCAATCACAACGCACTGGATAGCTGGCCAATCAGAGCACACCTCGCTTTT